CAATTATTGAACCCTGTTATGGCAAAATGTCGTGATTTGTCAGTGTCTCGCAGATCAATTATTTGCCTCAGCCTTCGGCTTCAACAAATAATTGATCTGCTCGCCACTGACAAATCACGATATTTTGCTCAACCTCGTCTAATAATTGCTAATTGTTCTCAACGCTTGAATTTCTCTGTCACGTACAGAGCTCCGAATCTTACAGCGACGTCAAAAAGTGAATTGGATTTGGATATGGGATATTTTGAACGAATTTACGGAACATTTCTTATTTGGTTATGCTAGATCAGGTTCCCCTCAATTTCGTCGTCAAGAGTAAAAGTGTTGAGATAATTTTACTTGCAGTTTTGAATAAAAAACGCATGCTATTCATAAAAAAAAAAAAACGCCAGCTGAGAGCTGCGAGAAAACAGAAATTAAAGAACACTTATCTATTGTCGTAGTCAACATAATAAATCAAAGTTTTATTGTAAAAAAAAAAAAAAAAACTACAAAAGACTCAAGAACGTACAAGATAAAGACCAAGACTGTACTGTTTCAAATCATTATCAATTAGACTTGTCTATCCCTACTTATTTTAAAAATTAGACAGTTATGCTGACAGAACAAAAGCGACCCCATTCGGATGTGTTTGTTTTGATCTTCGGAATTAGCACACATTGATCGTTGAAAATTGTTCGATTGTGGCGAATCACTGCGACGTCGAGAAAAACAGAACCAAGTATCATTAGGTACACTATATTCCATTCTAAACAGTCCCTGGATAACGAGGAAAAGTAAACTCTGTTATTTTAGAAAAATACTAATATGCTCGGTCACAAACAGTTCAAAGACGCGGCATTCAAAGGATCTAAGTTGTGCCTCTCAACGTCCATTTAGAACAAGTTGGACGAGCAAACGATCGTGTTTATCCTCGCAGCGAATCAAGATATATGCGAGAAGGAATCTACCCAAATTATATAACTTTTACTTTCCAAAAAGTTGAGTGTAGTCACGAAACTCATGATCATGCTGTTGTAATAGTTTCTAAAAACAGCCGCCGCCAACTCGAGAGCTGCTTCAATTCATATCCATAAACTTTCAGCACAAAATAGTGTCCTAGAGCCAGCAGTCTTTAAAATAACTCAAAAGAAATGTTCTGTGAACCATGAGGAAAGATTCCATCTAAGATTTCATCGCTCATCGTGGAGTCGCAGTCGTTAATTCTCTTTCGGCCGCTTCCAGTACAACGGTCTCTGATAAGAGGACAATGTAAATCCACGTAAAAATATTCCAAGAGGAAATAATTTCAAGAATAACGGTAAAAAGACTTCTGTGATCACCGCAGAACAATATATACTTAATACAAAACTGCGCTACCTATCGAACGATGGTGGAGACTTAAACAGATAAAAACAGCCTTCCAAAATCTCCGACAGAAGTTGAAAACGTCCGGTTGACTTTTTTAAGTTTGTTTTTTTCCAGCGCTTGGGCTGACATAGTCCCTTTAAAACTAAGAACAAAAGTATATTCAATATGAGAGGCAACGTTATGGCTGAGTAATCAGAATCTTTATTACCTCTCTTACAGCTTTTAACGAATGTTTACTTTAGCTATACTTACTGTTGTTATACTATACTTTTGTTTCACGCAGGCTGTTCTGATCTCTCCCCGAATTTCTGTTCACTATTTGCTCATGGAAATTTCTGTGTGAATAGTTTTAACCTCTCTAGAAAATACTGTGAAAAAACATGCGGTTTTTGTGGAGGTATGTATTATAGGGACTAACTTACCTTAAGCTTTTTTTTTTTTTAATTACCCGATTTTCCTTTTCAGTTTGTGATCATAATGCTTTTACTGTTTGTCTTAATATATAGATTTAGCCACAGCTAAAAGCGAAGCTCTCATTGATAAATTTATAACTTAAATCAAACAATGATTTTGTATTCCACAAATCAGTTAACTTAAGGGCACATTCATGTGACTTTTGAGGGAAAAGCTACGTGATTCTGGAGTGAAACAAATCTTGTATCGAGTTGATATAGCCTTATACGTACACCCAAAAAATAGTCCTCGGTCACATTTAAGAGCAATAATGGCACTTAATCACAGTAGATAAGGCGTGGAAAACAAATCAGAACGAATTTTTTGCGTTCGACGAGTTTACAAATTCTTGCCAATAAATCTGGGTGCGTGCAAACCAATCTTTTATTATTTTTTTTATGGACCATATCTGAGGAGAAAGAGTACTATGAGGCGCTGTTTTTATCACACAGACCTCGTACAAAATGCATTATTTCACAATTTTTCAAGACAAATTGCATTCATTCAATATTTAGGACCATCGAAGCACGAAGCACTTTTGACAAGCGCCTAATTTTCGAAGAAATTTTAAGAGTTATGCTTCAACGTGATAAAGAATTTATTGAGTCTATTTTTTATTAATGGTTTTATAACGATGTATAATCTTAAAAAGCGTTTGATACGCTAGGCATTTTGCCGAGTACTCCTGCAAGCGATGTTTATAAACGGCTGACTATGGTAAGAAAAGGTCTTCCCCGCCTGTATTTAAAAAAAAAATGGCCGAATTTTTGCGTCTGAGGTCAGTTTGAAATCAAAATCGTAATAGTGCGGGGCGATACGGACATAAACACAACATATTTGATATGAATTTCAAAAAAAAAAGTAAACCTGAGCCTGCGATCATTTGAAAACGGATAACTTCAAAAAAAATACTCCACCTTGATGGGTCAACACCTGAGCCCGCCATACGGTCAGCGGATACCCTGTTTTGACAGCTGTCAATTGACGACAACATTGATGTGCAATCAGCTTTCTCCTGGGCTTCCAAAGTAGCTAGAAAGTGTGAGAGTAAACATTGGTATGCCTGTGGTTCGGACGGACGGTCGGTCGCTCGGTCGCTCGGTCACGTAATTACCAAATTTTCTGGGATGGGTAGATTTATTTACTCATGGTGCTCCGCTGGCGCGCTTCGCGCGCGGAGCTCCGCTATTAATCGATCGATTGATTGATTTATTCATTTTCTCTCCCTGTTTTACAGCGGGTTGCTCTGATAGACACGTTGTGTGCCCAGATCTCCCAAATAGCTTTTGTTCTGCTCATTTTCACTGGTCCGAGCAAAACTGTCGACGGTCTTGTGGTTTCTGCTCAGGTAAGCTGATAATATTCTAGAATTCTTTATCATGGGCGTCGACGACAGGTCATTTTTGTTATTCCATTGCACTGTATACTGAGGTCTGATATATTAAACAAAAAGGAAAAAAAAATAAGGAAGCAAAACATTGCTTTACTCTTGCAAATTTTTTGCTAGTTTAGCCAAATTAAAGTTCAAATTGTCTTTGAGGGTTGGGATAATAATGGTTGGGATGTTGATGGAAGACCCTAAGGCAGGCAGCCTCCTCTTAATTGTTAATATATAAACTATAGTATTTTTGTGGACTTTGTCTTTCTTTTTCTTTTTATTTCTTTTTTGTGAACGATAACAGTTACCTGTAATGAATTGTAAATGTAATGTATTGTAATTGTTTGTGTGTGCGAAATTAAAAATAGTAATAATAATAATAATAATAATCGAAAATATTTTAGTGATAACATACTAACTATTAAAATCCTATTTACAATTAATTCACTTTTTAAAAAAAACTATTCGTCAAAACACTATTTACAATTCCTTTCGTAAAACAAAAAAACACTTAGTTTTGGTTAGAAAAGAAAAATTAGTTTCATTAATCAAAAATTATTCAAATTAAGAACATTAGTTTTCATTTCAGTTAAAAGAATTCATTTCGAATAAAGAAGAAACTATTTTCAAGGTCAATTGCATTCTTGCTAAGATAATCACTAAAAAATCACTAAAAAAGAGGAGAATTAAATAGCGTTCACAATGTGTTAATGACGAATATTTGTATAATAATATTTGAATAATAATAATAAATGACCTCATAGACGAAGAATCGATCTACAACTCGGCAAGCAAAACCAAGGGCTCAGCCGGACCATCTGGCATGGACGCAGAGCTGTATAAGAGAATCCTGTGCTCTAAGAATTTCAAGACCGAGGGCAAAATATTGAGAGAAGAACTAGCCGTGTTCACAAGAAATCTGCTAAGGAAATCGTACCACCCATCCTTACTTGAAGCCTTTACGTCCTGCGGGCTTATCCCGCTTGACAAGAACCCGGGAATCAGACCAATTGGTGTTGGAGAGGTACTAAGGAGAATAGTGGGGAAAACGGTCAGCGGTTTCTTAAAGGAGGAAATAAAAGAAGCGGCGGGTCCCCTACAAGTTTGCGCTGGTCATAATGCAGGAGCGGAGGCTGCGATCCATGCAATGAGCCAAGTGTTTGATGAAGAAGGAACAGATGGAATATTGCTAATTAATGCTAGTAACGCTTTTAACCAAATGAATAGGTCAGCGGCCTTAGACAATATCCAGATCATGTGCAAAGAAATGGCGCTCTATGTCATTAACACATATAGAAGCCCATCTAGACTGTTTATTTGTGGGGGAGGTGAAATACTTTCTAGAGAAGGCACCACACAAGGAGATCCGCTAGCGATGCCATGGTACGCACTTAATACTTCCATAATGATACAGAATCTGAGGGATCATTGCCCATTGGTTAAACAGGTGTGGCTTGCAGACGACTCAGCTGCAGGAGGGAGTATAGTGCAGTTATACAACTGGTACAGGCAATTGAGTAAGGAAGGTTAAAAGTTTGGTTACCTTGTGAATGGGACAAAGAGCTGGCTTTTTGTGAAGTCTAGGGAACTCGCGGAGGAAGCATAGAGGGTGTTTAGAGAGGAAGTCAACATAACGACTGAAGGTCAGCGCCATCTGGGAGCAGTTATTGCGTCGCAAGAATACAAAGATCAGTATTGTGAGGAGAAGGTTCGTGCATGGAAAGAGGAAATCGAACGTCTCTCTGAAATAGCGAAGAGCCAGCCCCATGCGGCGTATATTGCTTTCACAAAAGGCTACAAGTCGAAGTTCACCTACTTCATGCGCACGATTGAATCGTTTGAAGTTTATGTCGATCCAATCCAGGAAGTGATTGAAGATTTACTACTCCCAACTTTGTTCGGTCAATCAGAGCCTCTCCCTAACGAGGTGCGCAGACTTGCTACCCTAGCAACAGGTCAAGGGGGTCTAGGCATTCCTGATCTGAAGTCCGAGGCACCGCAGCAGTTTGCTGCCTCGAGACTAATAACCACCGCGCACGTAGATTCTATTACTTCACAGAGTTCCATCATGGTGTCAGGAGAAAGATCTACGGAGGAGCTAAAGAGGCATCAACAATCACTTAAGAGAGCAAGTGCCAAAGTGAAAATGGATAGCATTGATTCAAGCCTCTCCCCAGGCCTGCTGCGTCTGGTTAATCAATCGAGGGACAAGGGCGCAAGTTCTTGGTTGAATGCGATGCCTCTCGCAGACAAAGGTTTAGCCCTCAACAAGCAAGAATTCAGAGACTCGCTACGCTTGCGTTATGACTTGCCCTTAGTCGATTTACCAAGTCATTGCATATGTGGGGATAAATTCACCGTTAGTCACGCCCTCTCTTGTAA